AATTTGGGGAATTCGCCACAAATTAACAACACTATGTGTGTCGTCCATTTATTTTGAGCAATTTATATAAGAAAAATAATATTAAATTCTTTTTATTGAATAGATATGACATTATTTTTTGTGAAATTACTCCACTAAAAAATCAATAAAAAAAAATTTAAATACAGCAAATAGCGACATCTCTCGTCGTTGAAAAAACAAATACAAAGACACGACGCAAGCTCATAGAAAAATTCGTGAGGTCCGCTGGTTCGTTGCGTGGCTTAGTTGGTATAGCATCTGGCACGGTATACTAGAAGACGTCGGTTCGAATCCGGCCGGATCGAAGGAATTTTTCTGAGAGTTCGATCTTAGTATTAATAATTATAACAAAAATAATATTAACAACAAAAGAGGAAATGCAGTACAAAAATACAATTGTCCTATTTTTATTTTCATATTTTTAGAAAAAAAAACGTACCCCACAAAAAAAACGGTTTCTTTCATGTTTTTTTCATTGTTTTTTTCACCTCAGAAAAAAACGGTTTTTTAACAACATTAGTTGTAGGTATTAAAAAATGGTGTAATGTGCGGCCTTGGCGGAACAGTATAGCAAAACCTTATACGTGAGTTTTGAACCTTGTTTCATCATTTTGTGTAAACAGGGCCCATACACGGCGTCACAGTAATCGACAATAGACAAAACCAGGGCATCCGTCAATCCACGTCTTACGAATGGGGATTTATCTTGCATAATAACTGTTTGTTGTAACGCAGCATCACATTTGGGTAGTTTGGAATCCAACTGTTTGTTAAATTTGAGAGCCATCGAACAAATATTTGCTGTCTATTAATAATGATGAAAGGATGAGCATCATGGACACACTTAATCTACTCAATAGTTTACCAAGTATGCTTACCTATACGAGACACATAATAATATCACTCAAGAGCGCTATTTTGCCCAAAACAATATACACACCGTTTGTGGTCACCTTTGTCACACCGAGCAAACCGCACTCGTCTCGTGCGGAACTGAAAAGTGGATGCACGTCAGGCGTTCGGGTCGCAGCCATGTCTGCTGATAGCTTGCATGATTGTTTGCCATACTCACTCGTTCGTTCACGCTTACCATTAAACAGGGTTATTTGTAAAACACTAACACCCTCGCAGGACAGCATTTACTAACATCTTAATTACAGCAACTTTTGTTCCATGACTTTTACAGAACATAATAAATCTGACACTTTTTATCCCCCTCGGCACTCGCGAAACCTAATAAAACCAATTCGTCGGAAATTAAAAATAGGTAAAGACATGATGAATATAACTCGTGTGGATTCTGTTCGTGCTCTAGACATCAAATTGGACTCCAAGTTCCATTTCAACAAACACTGAGAATATGGTGGCGAGGGCATATAAGCATTGGGTTTGACTCTTCGTTCAAAATCAAAATCAAAATAATCTTTATTTCATAGGTAAATATTATTACACCTGAAATCGTCACATTGGTTAAACTCTACCGCTCATTCGTAAGACAGATTCCCCCGAGAAGAATAAGCAAGAAACTCTAGGGGTTGCTCTTTGTAAATAACATTTGTACACATTCAACATTTACAATATATTTTTGTTTTGCTTTCAAACATCAGAGATCGAGACTACCTCCATGAGCTAAACGGGTTACTACCACGGATTTTTGTCATCCAAGTACACAGAAGTTGTATAATAATATATCTTCTATCACTTTGAACAATAACTTTGAATTCGTAATTAGTGGAATCTTCAAGATAAAGTCTTTTGTAATTTGATATAAAATACGGAAAATATTTCAAAATATTTCATTACATGTCACTACGTGTGTATAGGGTAACTTCGGACATTTTTTTCGTGGTTTTTGTATTAGACCCGACGTCCATTTGTTGGTAGGTCAATGGTTATAGCGCATATTTCTAGTTTAATATAGGTATGTTGTGTCCGTCACGTGTTTTCACAATTTTGTTAAGTATATGTACACTATTCTTAGATATTGTTTGTATGTGGCTGTTTGTTACCTGAATAAATAAATATATATACGTATCCCGTAAAGAACGCCCGTTCACGTTCAAATACCCGTAGTGGATAAGAGTGTAGACAAAGTGGAGATACCATAAACCGATAACCTCGACGATGTGTCACCAGTGCCTTATTAGTTATTGTAATTAAAAATCATTACATCGGCGGCCTTCCGCCATGCCGCCTCGCCGCCACGCCGGCCTCGGCGCGCATTGATTTTGACCCCGTTCCATATAGATCGAGTTCACGCCATCGTAGAACATTCCGTCTCCCTTGAGCTGCCAGCTGCCCCGCCCGCGCTTTGCTCTACTCGCTGGTCTCGGTCGCCTTCGTTCGCCACAAGCCAATGCCGTCGTCATCACACTTTTAGGCTTTGCTTGGAAAATCCCTAGACGTACAGTAGTACCAAACTGGAGCTATGCCTAACGTAGTAATATAAAATTCATGCAGTCTACCACGCTTGTTCCATTTTTATGCAATTTGTAAAAGTTCTGGTACAAAGTTGTTTATGCGCATTGCATTTATCTACCTATGTACTTAGTGATTGGTACCCACCAAGGATTCAAACAAAGATTTCCCCTCAGAGGAATCCGGAAATGGGACGTTTACGCGATGACTTGATGTGTATTGGATCACAGTAGGAAAGTTCTTCAAAACCGCCATTTTCTGCGTCCACGCGCTAAACCGCTAAAGCAACAAAAATCTACACAAAAAGAGTGTCTAAATAGGGCGATAGCTAAACTGGACAGCACAAAAACTTCCCAATAAACTTTCCGGACCTATCGAAAAAAATACCAAATGGCTACAACCAGACAACGGTGGAGTGCCCCGACTGCAAAATAAAGTGTCATATGTCTCAAAAGTGAACCCGCATTTCAATAATATAAAGGGGGAACGCTGCCAGTATTTTGCGCACCGCCGCGGGGTCCAATTTTATTCATATAATTTAATCCTAGTTTTACTTTCCAGTATTTAAGCTGTTATCCTACAGTCAAGAGCATATCAAGCTTCACACTTAGTACTTTGGACCGTTCTTATCGTAAGCGACATAGAGTTGGATTTAAGTCTTAAGTATCAAGCTCGACGTGCTCTTAACCCTGACCCAGACCCTGTACCTTACCTATATATTTTAACTTATTGTCTAATAAATAAATCAGATGACAGTACCTACTTATAATCTGAATTTCACAATAAACTGGACAATTTACCACAACACTAAGGGTCGTATTCCAGAACTCTACTCAATACTCAAGTCAGGAATTGAGTATTGCAGTGAGCACTGAAAATCATATTCAAGTCCTCGCCATTAGGGTCGTATTTCCAGTGCTTGAAATCATATTCAAGTCTGCTCAAATCCTGACTTGAGCACTGAGTAGAGTTCTAGAATACGTACTCTATATCTAGAATACGTATTCTAGAACTCGGTGCTCAAGTTGGGATTGCACTGCGAAAAACAAGCACTGGAAATACGACCCTAATGGCAGGGACTTGAGTATGATTTTGAGTGCTTTAAACCATACCTACTCAAATCCTAACTTGAGCATTGAGTAGAGTTCTAGAATACGACCCTAAGATTGCTGCGTGTCCCAGAGTTACGCCGGAATTCGGTGTTGTAACTACTTACTAATCACGCTGCACGTCACATTTTAGAGTCTTCGCATTATAGTTCTTTTCGTGTTCGTGTTATTCGTTTATCATCCTGCGGCTGGAAACAACAGGTGGATGGATGATTTGTTGCCGATTTCAGAACTTTTTGCTTGCAAGTACGTAATTCGGCAGATTTAGTTCAGGTTGATTTCTGAATTCGATGTATACGATATTTCAAAAACTAAATTTTATTGTTGTATGAATGTTGTATGAAATATATTCTGTAATATGTGTTGTAACGACTAAAATATTTTAAAAACAATTTATTGCTTTTACAAGTATTGTCATTTACGAGTAATATAAAAAAAACCGGAAACGCGGAAACGCAAAGCCATATTTTCTATGAAAAGCAAGAATTTGATATCTTTTCTCATGCTTTTCTCATACAAATGTTAAATCAATATTATTGATTTTCACAGTGTTATGTTATAGGTACTACTTTCTTCACGTTGAAAATGAATAAAAAAATATTCTAGCTCAGTGTTCTAGTATTTAAGCTTCTATTGTAACAGGTAAGGGCCTGTAAGCACATTTCAACTTATTGTCTAATAAAATAACAAATAATCAAAGATAAATCATAATACGATAAAGAAATTAAAATAGAAAGAGAAAAATTGGGAATCAAAATGAAAGAACGTCCTAGAAAAGCAAACTGATACAATTCTATATAAAATGTTTAAAGAAAAGGATAGAAGTTACACGAATTACCGCGTCTTGTACAAAAATTCCTTCCTCTAAGTACAAAAAGCAAGGAAAGATATGCAAAAAACTATTGTCTTGTAGGTACAGATTGCGTTCTAGACTTTTTTAAAGGTAAAGAAACATTTGTCAGGTTGAGAAAAAGACGGAACAGCCAAACCGGCGACTGATTTTAATTAATACCTACTCATCATAAGGTGAAATTTGTTTACGTTGTTTTGGTCGCTTTTTTGTATAAATTTCAGAATTTTAGGGCCTGATTTAATAATTAGTCATATTAGCAAATGTTTGCCTAGAATATTGATGATTTTTAGCCTTTTTCTTGAACTTTCATATAAATACAAAGTAAACACAGTTATGCCTTCGGTGCATAATTGCTGACATCGGTGTACTGTTTCCTGATTTCGGTGGTTCAAATATGTCATTAACTGTTAAGAAACTAGTTGCCCAATAACGAAATCTTATGTCGGTTTGAGTTCTTTTTCCTTATCGCTCAATGATTTTCCTGAAATTAAGAAAAAAAGTCGACCACCGAAGTCAGATAAATTAGCCCCTCTTGGAGAAATGCCCACTTAATCTCTGCGTGAGCGGGAAGGGCTTGGTGGCTTGGAGATTCGCAAACAATGACGAACGAAAATCGGCAGGGCGCCTGTGATCGTCACACGCACAGTGAACTTTTGTACGGACGCGGCGCGAGGGCAGGGTCACGTTGCGACACAGCCGCGCTATATACGCGCGCAGAACGTTCGCAGCACATCCTCGCTCCATCCCTGGCTCCGGCTTCACCTTTTTTTTACGCGGACAACATGAAGTTTGTGGTGAGTTACTGAAGGTAGCCAATACAGTTCCAAATATGGAAGCAACAGGTAACGATTCGCTAGCCGACGTCTAAAAACTTAAAATATTTAAAATCACTTTATTAATAATAATAACTTTTTAGTTTACGCAACGGAGGTCCATTTGTTAGTAATACAGAAAAACTTATTACTATGTTAATTTATATATTCGTTCTTCAGTCGTTACTATCCCACTGCTGGGCAAAGGCCTCCCTCCCTTTCTCGTCATCGCGATTTAACGCCGCTATAGGTCAACATTTCGTATGATCATTTAGCTCCTCATTACCTTCTGGGTCTTCCACGTCTCGTCTCTTGCGTTTCATGGGATTTTGTGGTCTTGTGGAGCGCAGTGTTTTTTTTATAATACCAAGTGACGGAACGAATAAGTCATACGCCTGGTGGCAAGCGACACGCCTGTCCATAACAGTTGCAGTGCCACTCAGAGCTTTAAATCGCATAGATCTTGGGGTACTGCCACTGCGCCCCTCACCTTGAGACGTAAGCTGACAAATCCCATGTGCCTGTAGTTTCGCCAGCACCCTTACCCTGCCAAACCGGAACGCAGTAGTGTTCACATTACTGCTTGGCGGCCGAAGTAGGTAAGTTGGCAGTACTTCCCTGGACGAGCTCTTTAACAAGGAGCTCTATTGCTTCGTAGACGGCCTGACAGTTTAAACACCCAAATACTTATAAAGTAAATGGCGCACGTGCCCCGACGAACCGTTCACGCACTCGTAGGTAGGCTTTGAATAATGTTATTTTAGCCGCGATGCTGCAACTAGCGAGGCTGTGGACAAGCATATTTTACACCTCGCGGCGCACTCTTTAAGCGCGCTCGACGTCGGCACGATCTTTGAGGCCTTAGGCAACATACCCTACATATTTAAAAGGTTTCATTAGTTAAGACATTTTTTTTCACTAACGTGGTTTAGACTGTTAAATGGTTAAATAAGAAGGTACATATTAAGATCGTTTCGTACCTATCTCATCGACAACAACTTTTGCACCTGCAGGTGATCTTCACGGCACTGGTATGCGCCGCGGCTGGAGCGCGCGTACGCCGCGGCGTACTCAGCGGACTGCACGCACCTTCCTATGGCTCAGCTTACTCCGCTTCATCAGTCGGTTACTCTGCGCCCGCAATCAGCTACTCAGCACCGGCAGTAATCCACTCCGCCTTGAGCTACAGTTCAGCGCCTGCAATCAGTTACAGTTCTGCGCCCGCCGTCAGCTACGCAGCGCCCGCCACCAGCTATTCAGCACCAGCCATCAGATACACAGCGCCTGCAATTACCTACTCTGCGCCTCTTCTAAGCCACATAGCGCCAGTGGGTCGCTACGCGGCGCCGGTGGCGAGCTACGCGGGCCCGGTTTTGCGCTACACACCCCCGGTAGTGCGCTACGCAACCCCGGTAGTACGCTACGCACCCCCGGTAGTGCGCTACGCACCCCCGGTAGCGCGTTACGGACCTCGCGTGATACGCGTGCACAAACAGATCTCCGCGCCGCGCATCGTACCCCACAGCCGCGTGAGCTACGCACCCGCCTACGCCAGCGGTTGGTGGTGAACCTGATACACACATACATCTAGTCAAATTGTACAAGTAGTGTGTTACAAGCCTCACCTTTTTACATAGCACAATGTATTACCTTTAAAATATAGGTAGACTATTTGAAATTTGCGTTTGTTCATTCCTCAATAAAAGCTTGTAAGTACGTACAAGTTTAACCACCTAACCGTTATATATTTATAAACGCGCGTCTGTGAGATACACTGAACATACCGCCGATTTACAAAACAGGAATCTTCATACCAGTACACGTGATCAATTGGACCTGTGCCCATGACACTTCGGGTCGGCTTTATGCTTAGCTGTTTAGCTTTCAATAAAGAGAGAGCTTGACCGATCCATTCATCGAGGCAACAAAAAAATGGATTACTATAAGTAAAACCTCAACGACACATTTTTAGACCACGCACTAGATTGCTTCTGCCACGATCTCGGCTACACATACACAGCTCAAGTCCCCATTCGATGTCGGTGAGGATATTCAACGAGCTCCCGCCCATTATTATAAACGAGGAAAGTATTCACTGTTTGTAAATAAATTAAAATTACATCTTATTAATAAATGCTATTACAATTTAAACGAATACTTTAATGACACATAAAAATAATAGTATTATAATAAATTTAAATAATAAATAAATGTTAATTATATAGTATAAAGTTATGCTATTGTAAGCTAATTAAATTCAAACTTTCAAGTGACGTAATTCTACTCATAATATGACGTATTTCTTTCTTATTACATGACATATTTTTTATTTTATATTATTTGATAAATAACAATTTAAATTAATAATTGAGACCTCGGTGTACCTCTGCTGTTATTGTTATCCCTAATAAAGGGCTCATATGTGTAGCATTATTTCAAATTTAAGACATGTAAATACATACCATATGAATGCAATAAATATATTGAGTATTGAAAATAATTAGACAGGTGACAAATTACACTCAAATCAATTAGAATGAACTTCGACGGCCGCACCGAATAAACGTGTAAAGGAAAAACTTTCTAATACTTAAACAAACTGTATGACCAAATTAAAGATAAAAAAATATTCTAATTTATATTAAAATATGAAACACGAAAATATTGATAGTTTATTTAGAAATTATTAAAAAACCATTTTAAATTTTTATTCTAGTAAGAATGATTTTGGTGGTGGTTCGCTTATACCTATAATACTTACTTACGTTATTGTTCGCGGGAAAAGTTGTTTTTAATTGAAAATGTAACATAATACTACTCTGTTTACACCAAGTACCAAGTACTATGGGTATTTAAGATTTGTCAGTATTTATTAACTATTGCTGTAATTGTTGATAATGTACGTACGAGGCAACGTTAGTAGGATCATATTTAAATTGATACCATCGTTGCCTTGGGCATTGGAGGTTATCGATTTCATAACGTTAAACACCACTGTTTTAGAAATAGGTTTCAACATAAATATCCCGGGACCAAACCTGCTGCATTCAAAATCATTTAGAAGTGGTTAATATAGGTAGGGTATAAATTCAGGCATGGTTTTATTGACACTGCCGCACACTCTACCTCTTATAACGAATATTATCAACAAATCCATTACTTCCTCGACATTCCCGCTTAGCTGAAAGACTGCTCAGGTTACGCCCGTTCCCAAAATGTCTAATCCTAATAATTATAAAGACCTTAGGAACCACTAATTTACTGCCCTATCTATCCAAAGTATTGGGAAGGATAGTACGCATTTTGGCAATTAACTGCGTTTCTGGAAAGAAATAAGATACTACCCGAAGTGCAGTCTAGTTTCAGAAAAGATTCCAGTACCTACTTCAACTGCTCTTTCAGAAGTAGTAGACAATATACTAGACGCTCAGGATAAAGGTATGGCCACTATACTGACTCTACTCGATTTTTCCCGAGCTCTTGACTCTATCAGTATCCCATTATTGCTTGCCAAACTTACCTACTATGGTTTTGACATAGCCACAGTAAAATGATTCAGTAGTTATTTGACTGATAGAGCTCAAATTGTCAAGTTCAGGAGTTGAACGGCCGCATCACTAGGTCTTCTGTAAGGGACGTACATAGAGGCATGCCGCAAGGATCGGTATTAGGTATTAGTATATATTATTATATTATATTATTATATCCTTTGCGTTTTGTATTTGTAATTATAATATTTCATATTCTTTACAATATTATAAAGAATATGAAATATTATAATTGCCATCTTTATAATAATACTTTATTTCGGACCAACAACAGTTATCCATAGTTTGTTAGTAAAGAACTTAGGAATAAGGTTAGTATGATGCTATTCAAATGCTAAAATTACAAGAAAATAAGATAATCTCAAAAAAATTAAAAACAAAAAAATTATACAATTAAAATTCAAAAATAAATCATATTCATATTCATATTCATATCTTTATTTGCTTGTCACATGGTTTTACATAAGATCTTATAAAATTAATGTTGTACCTTTACAAGTGACACCCTGTAAGGGCGCTGCAAATTGAGAGAGTACTACCAATATTATTAAATTATAAATATTCTTAACTTTTATTATACATTATATAATAATATGCCAACAACTTATTACTTAAATTACTGTTTAAAAAAATTAAAATAACAATTACTACGAGTATCAATAATAACCAAGTAATAACTAATCTATTCAAAGACCAGACAATGGCACTAATCTTTTATTTAATATTTCATCTATTGTATAGAATGATTTATTTATTAGGTACTGCTTTAGGTGGCTTATAAACGTTGATAATTTTTCCTGGTTTTTTATTACATTAAGTATATTATTATAAATTTGAATTGCCATTGAGTGTGGGCCCCACCTGTACAAACTGAGAGTGGTTGTGGGGAGTTTTAATTTATGCAAGTTTCTATTGTTTCTTTTTAGAGTAGTGATTGGGGAGTATAACTGTACAAGCTTTTTGACGAATTTACAGCATTCAAGAATTTATATGGATGTTAAAGTTAATATTTTGTATTTAATGAAGTAGGGTTTACATGAATCAGTTTGTTTAATATTAGCCAATATTCTTATGCATTTTTTTTGTAACACAAAAATGTCTTGTATTATAGTACTATTTCCCCATAATATTATTCCGAAAGTGAGTTTTGAATAAATGAATGCGTAATATGCTGTGAGAGCAGTTTTAAAGTCAGTAGTTTTTTTAAGTTGTGTTAAAGCGAACATTTGGGAAGACAGTTGTTTAGTCAATTTATAAATATGTGGTTTCCACGTAACGTTGGTGTCTATGTCTATTCCTAACAGGGTTGCTACATTATCTACTGTTATTTGGCTGTCGTTATAGGTATATTTCAAATTTAGGGATTTTTTTTGTGACGGTCTGAATTCTATAATTTTTGTTTTATTAAGGTTTAATTGGAGGTTGTGTTTATCAAGCCAGTTTATAATTGTGTGCAATGTCGAGTCTAGTTTGGTTTTTATTTCGTGAATATTAGTGCATGAAAATAAGATGGTTACGTCATCAGCAAAGAGAGTACAGTGTTCGTTTATACTTTTAGGTAAATCGTTTATATACGCAAGAAATAAAGTACAACCGAGGACAGTACCTTGTGGGATAGAATTTTGAATAATAATTTTAACTGATTTCACCCGTTTTATAATCTGTATATTCTATTTGTTGCGGACACCGAGCTACATAATCCGCGCCGACCGCCTACTCGCC